TGGCTCGCTCCGGACTCGAAGTGCCCGAGAGCGGCGGAGGCGCAGGTGGACTGTGATCGAGAGGTGGGCTGGCGTACCTGGAGCCTGGTCGCAGCCAGAGGAGGGGCGAGCGAGGGAGGAGCACGGCGACCCAGAAGAGGACGAAGGCGGCGGCGGGGCAGGCGTAGCCGAGGAAGGACGCGCGCCCAAAGTACTTGCCGATGTCTTCGAACGCGATCTCGTGCTCCGTTGAGGGCCCGAAGGCGCTGCACAGGCCGATCCCCACCACAATCACGACGATGGAGGCCCACTCGGCGCGGGAGAGGGACTCCTTGACGCCCGGCACCCAGCCCAGGCGCGCGAGGACGGCGCTGAAGACGATGGCGAGCCCAAAGATCGGTGCTATCACCGAGATCGGCGCCATGCCCAGCGCCACGACCGACAGGCTGACCTCGGACCCGGTATTCATGAGGAAGCCAAGCCACCAGAGCCGTCGCCAGCGGTGCGTGCAGCTCGGGCGCAGCGGGAGGCCGGCCTCGGTGTCCGCCGAACGCTTCATGATGAGCAAAGCGACGCTCGAGATGAGCGCGGACAGAGCGGCGAGCGAGACGCCGACCACGTACATCGGGTCAAAGTCGTCCCCGTCGGAACCGTTGTTTGTCTGTTCGAGGCCTTCGCAGTGCGTAAGAGGTGACAGTGGCGGCGGCGGCGGTAACGACGGCGGAGGATAGCGAGCCATCTGCACACGTTATACCTACCAGGGAGAGAGGGAGACTGGCACCGCCACCGCAGCGAGTAGCGCCAGTGGCTCGCCCGTAGAGGCCTTGCTGTGCGGGCGCGCGCGGCGGAGGCGGCGGCTCACCGGGGGGAAGCTGCGAGGTTGCCTACATCAAAAGGCGGCGGTGAAGCGCCCTGAGTCAAAAAAATTCGGCGCAAACGGAGCGTGCAGGGCTCCGAAGCTCGAAAGCCCCGTTTGAGTTCGGAGGCTCAGAGCCGGAGGGTGGCTGGCTGAAGGATTGTAAAGGCGGCGGCTAGCTGAGCGGCGATGCGGCAACGTCTTCCTCTGTCTCAAGCGAGTTGTCGTTCAAACTGATCTCGATTGAGCCGGCAAAACGGCTCGTCCCCCTCGTGGGAAGCTTCTCCCCGGGGTGCCATGTGGACATCACAGACGGAGCTTTTGACGGAGCGTTGGTGCGACTCAGATCCGAAGGCGACCCAAGTCTTGACGCGAGCCACGCAAGCCGCCGCGAGAGCGCAAGAGGCAGTGTACCCTTTGCATGCGTAGGCTGTGAGGAAAGCGGGCGGCGATGAGCATGCCGCGGACAAAATTGATGGTGACGACAAAGATGGCGGTGGCGATTGGGAGGGTGACAGCGTTGGTGCCGTGCAGCATCAGAAATTCACGGTTGATCCAGAGGCATAGCGGCGGCGCCGGCGTATGCCACGAAGTCCATGAGCACGAGGACTGCAGTAAGGACCTGATCTGCTGTAGGCTCTTCGTCGAGTAAGACGGTGTCGAGTGCGACGGTGGCCATGTCATCGCGCTGGGGCGTGGCGGGTTTGTCCGCCATGGCCTGGTGGGCGGTTTGCATCTCACCGGAGGTACCACGTTTGAGCGCGGAGGCTCAGAGCCGGAGGGTGGCTGGCTGAAGGATTGTAAAGGACCAGAAAGGCACGACGTCTAGGACATCGCGACAGACAAGACGCGCCGACTAAGGGACGTCCACGTGACACGATTGTGGCACAGAGGGTGTGATGCTGGAGTATCGACAGTCATGGGGCACGGCGCAGGATGCGCCGTGCTAGTACACCGTGTGTAGCGTGTGTGAAGGGTAGCACAGGCGTCCGAATTCAGACGAGCCCATCTGCGCATGTGGGATAGCGAGCGACTAGCACACCTCAAAGAGTGAGGGACCAGACCGACGAAGCAGAGGTAGATCTAATCGCTTCGGTGCTCGCGCTTCTGTTGTGTTTGTCCTCTTTGGCCACAGGGATCTCAACAACCGCGGTGTTTTCTCCTCCTTTATCATCCACCACACGCAGCAGATCTCCATGGCGGCGGTGGCGGGCGACGCCGACAACATCAACAAGCAGGCGCGCATGGGTGTGAGGTTGCCGACTGCAGCCACTCCAAGTGCTCCAAGTGCGCAAGATGCGTACCAACTGGGTCAACGACGTCAAGAACAAGCAAGTGGCAAACGGCCTCTAGGTCTTACCCTCGGCCCCAGTGGGGGGTGCCCGCGCCGCCTATAGCTCTGTCTGCGGACGGGCCCCTAGGGCCCCTCCACCCTTCACGTACGGGATCATGTAGTCCCCACAATCGCTGTCGTGGGATCGCTTGTCATGTGAGAGAGTAGTGCGTTGGGTTTTTGTTTTCTATCCGCTTTGTCTCAAAATTCTCCCTTTCGATCGCAGAGAGAGCAGATTGTGAATGAGCTTGCCTGAGAGATTTTTGAAAACCAACAAGAAATCACGACTCTCACAGTGATTTGGGCTCGGCCGCTTGTCAGCCCTCAGCCGAAGGCCGAAGCTGGGGCCGGTCCCGTAGCCGAGAGAGTGGCGGGGGCGGGCGAGTGCACGGAGGTCGGAGCTAAGTGCCTCGCCGCCCTTGCGGGAGTCGCTTAGGCGGCTCCCGTAGTGTGCCTGTGTTAGTGCCAGTGCGCGCCAGTCCCGTGCGCAGTGTCGTGCGACTTTGTTTCTACCTGTGTGCTAAAAGAAAGAAAACAGACAACCCAAGGGAGGGATGGCTAAATAAATAAATAAATAAAACGGACACACCAAACAAGGGGTGGGAGAAGGACAGGGTCCCCACCTGCGCGAGCAGGATCTTGTAAGGACGATCAGGGACACAGGGGAACGGAAGCGGGGAGCGCATCGCGACACGGAGGGGGGCTGGGCAGGGTTCACCCACACGACATGGTCCCAGGGATTCCTCTCTCGTATAGGACAGGTTGCACCCGGCGGCACAGGGTCAGGCGCGGGCCTCCTGCTGGTTGCGCTCTCCTAGTTCTCCTGCTACTGACAAAAGGGACAGCGACAGGTTCGCAGCACGGTGGACTCCCTATTCCACTGGCGATCTCTCTCGACTAGCGACCTTCCTCCGGCTTCTCACTGGCAGTCTCTCACTATCACGGGCACACTGACAGAGGCGGCCAAGGCTCACGCCGAGGGTGGCAGAGGCGGTGATAGGAGGGATGGCTGAGGCTGTGCGCGAGGGGAGCACTTGGAGCACTTGGAGTGCAGCCATCAACCTCACATCCAGGGCGGGCGAGCACTTGGAGCACTTGGAGCACTTGGAGTGCAGTTATTAACCTCACATCCAGGCGAGCCCCCACTTTTTTTATTCGCGCCGCCCTTCTCGAAGCCAAGGGAGGGATGGCTGTGTGCTGTGCCCGACGCCAAAGCTTATTTTTTATTCGCGCTCGGCGCGGCCCTCCCTGGCGCCCTTCTCGAAGCCAAAAAACAATCTCTCGCGATGGCCGCCGCGGCGACGACGCGCGTCGGCGAGCTCCCTGTGGTCGTGCAGCGCGAGATCAGCGCCTTTAGCGCGCGGCTGCGGCGGCAGCAAAAGCGCACGTCCGCCGACGTGGCGCGGCAGGCGCTCAAGATTATGCGGGAGGTGGTGACTCACACAGCGGTGCGCGACGTCTCGTGGCTGATCAGCTCGATCAAGCTCACCGGCCAGCTGCTGATCGCGGCACAGCCGCACGAGCTCGTCATCGGCAACATGGTGCGGCGGGTGCTCCACATTGTGCGCGAGAGAGACGCACTAGCCGGCCCGCAAGTAGGTCGGCGGCAGTCCGACAGCGGCCGGGCTGAGCCGGCGGCGCGTCGGCCCCGCGCAGGTGCGCGAGGAGATGCAGGACTCGACCCTCTCGCGCGAGCCTGGTGTGCCGCCCGCCGGCGGCAGCGGCGACGCGCCGGCGCCTCCCGCTGCGAGCAGCATGGTGATGAAGGGCCCGTCGCTGATGAAGATGCTGGACGCGGTGGAGGCGCCCGACTACTCGAGCCAGCCCGCCAAGGACCTCAAGAAGCCGATCCACGCCGCCATCACCGAGCTCGACGAGGAGATCTCGACCGCGCACGAGCAGATTGCGGACCAGGCGAGGAGCCGGGGCCCCTCGCACACGCGCTTTCTCTCCCCCTCTCCCTCTCTCGCTCGCTCTCACGCCCGCGCGCGCCGCGCTCTCTCACGCCCCCTGCGACGCCGCGACGCCTCCCTCCGCCTCGGAGCACACCGACGTCGTCTCAGTTGTGATCATCACGACGAGGGAGTGAGTCACCCGTGAGTCACCCGTGAGTCACCCGTGAGTCACCCGTGAGTCACCAGGCGACGGAGCACATCCATGCCAACGAGGTCATCCTCACACACGGGCGAGAGAGCACCGCCGCCGGACGGACGATTCTATTCTGTGCTAGCAGACTCTTTGACGAGTGTGCAGGCGCGACCCGACCGTCGAGACCTTCCTCTCCCGAAGAGATCTCCTCGACCCTTCCTGGAACCTCCCTGCAGGCGCGACCCGACCGTCGAGACCTTCCTCCGCGCCGCGCACAAGAAGCGGCCCTTCGAGGTCGTCGTCGCGCAGACGGCGCACGCGCCGACGTACACCACCTCTTCCTGCCAGTGGCGGCAGTAGTGCCGATGAATGACTAGGCGCCGGCCAACGAGGGCCACGCCACGGCGGCCAGGCGACAGATGGCGGCGTCGCTACGACATGTCTGTGACATGTGCATGTCCGTGACACGTCCACGACACGTCCACAGGCTGGCAGAGGCCGGCATCGCCACCACGCTTATCGCCGACGGCGCGATCTTCGCGATGATGGCGCGCGTGAACAAGGTGATGAATTGATCAGTGATGCCGACGGCGATGAGGATGATGACGATAACCTAGCCCAACACATGTCGCGCGTGCAACAAGGTGATCGTCGGCGCGCACGCCGTGATGGCAAACGGCGGGTTGTACGCCTCCGCCTCGTGCCACCTCCTCGCCATCGCAGCGCAGCACCACTCGGTGCGCCGCCCGCCGCCCGCCGCCCGCCGCCCGCCGCCCGCCGCCCGCCGCCCGCCTGCCGCCCGCCGCCGCCCGACAGCGACGCCGCGCGGGCTCCGCAGGTGCCGCTCGTGGTTTGCGCCGGGCTGTACAAGCTCGCGCCGCTCTTCCCGTCCGGCCCAGAGCAGTACTGCCCGCTCTTCTCGCCGCAGCCGCCTGGCGAGCCATGAGTGAGAGGCTCTCGATGAGCTGATTAGGTACAACTCGCTCCTCTCGCCGCAGCCGCTGCTGCCGTACGGAGGCGTCGACGAGGAGGCGCAGCGCGTGCCTGTAGCCCCGCGGACGGCCAGGTGTGGCGTTGACTCACGGGTGGCATTCCGAACCAGGTGCACGTGGTCAACCCTGCCTACGACTACGTGCCGCCCGAGCTGGTCTCGCTCCTCATCACAAACATCGGCGCCAACCACCCCTCGTACATCTACCGGCTGCTGCAAGAGTACTACCACCCCGACGACCACGACCTCTGACGGCCCACATGGAGGCCGCGCGGGGGCGAGGCCGCCAGTCCGCAGTCGCGCCGCGCCTGCTGAGAGAGTTGAGCAGGCACAGAGACCTCCTTCCGTTACTCACTATAAAGGTGTGGGTGCAGCCTCTCCCCACACCCCAGAGAGTGACCGCGCAAGACGCGATTGGGAGAGCGTGCCCTTTACTTTAGCGGGGGACTGCAAGCACGACTCTTGTCAACGACTTGTCAGGCACACAGGGTTGATCCCTGAGGTGGGTCCATGCACCATGCGCCCCACCGTTTTTACTGTCGAAACGTCGAACAAGCGCAGAAATACGGGATTACGGCTTTATAGCCGGCGTAGCGGGCCTCAACGCTCAATGGAGGTTGGAGCGGATCCGGGGTCGCGCGCATTATAATGCGGTGTGTATGTGGTGATTAGAGATTACACGTGTTTGACACATGCACAACAGCATGCACATGCACATGTACATGCACATGACATGTGCATGTGCGTGTCAGTGTGTGTGTGTGTGTGTGTGTGTGTGTGTGTGTGTGTGTGTGTGTGTGTGTGTGTGTGTGTGTGTGTGTGTGTGTGTGTGTGTGTGTGTGTGTGTGTTCACTGCCCCGACTGCTGCAGGAAGGCGGCCGCCTGCTCGTTCGCCTTGACCCGCATGGCAGCCTCGTGCTGGCCGCCGCCCCCGGCGACCGGACGCATCGCGTCGCTCCAAAGCGCGGACGCCTTGTGCGGCAGAGACAGAGGAGGGCGGTGAGAGTACGCATAAGTGCGGCGAGGTGGTGGCACAGGTGTGAGGTGGCCTGGTCACTCCCGGCGTCGTCTCTTCCGGCGTCCTGCTCCATCATCTTCTGCTCCTCCGCCAGCATCTTCTGCTCCTGCTGCTGAATTAGCTCCGCCTCGCTCACGAACCGTTCCTGAGGATCCAACTGGCGCGAGGCCGAGCCCGAAGCGACGAGGGTGACCAGCAGGAGGAGGACAAGAGCCGCTCCTGCAGCCACTCGCATGCACCGACTGTTTGATGGACTTGATGGCACTGTCAACATGGATCAAATCCGCCGCCTTTTGGGAAAAACAAATTTGGCTCCGCATGCTCGCTAGCAGCGTAACTGATTTTGGCCCATGCGCATGCTCTTCCTCGTGCTCGTCGCGCGCTCGGGAGCCGGAGTGGCGGGGTCGGAGCTGCTGCAACGGCGCGAGTGGCCGCGAGGGGTCGTGCTGGGGCTCGCCAGAGAACGAGGCCACGGCGCGGCGCTCGCGGCGGCGCGCGGTGGTCCCGCGGCCGAGCGACCGTGTGACGCCTTCTCTAACAGGGGGTCCGGCGAACTACCGGACCGCGACAAGACCTGTGGACGGGGGGGAGGAGAGAGACGGGATCCGACATCCTGGAACGGATCTCGGAGCGGGTGGAAGGAGAGGCGGAGGAAGGGATGAGGACGCGCCTACGCCAAGCCATGCAGGGACAGGGAGTGTTTGTGTGCTTTTGTTGTGCAGCCCCTGTGGTCCGTGAGAAGAGGAGGCAAGGAGGCGGGTTAGGGGTGAGGGGGCGGCAGCCGCCACAGCAGGCGAGCGCACCCCGAGCCGGGGCTGCACCTGCGGGTCGGCCTCCCCCGACACGGACTCTGCCACGAAGGACACGAGACAGCCCGGTGAGGTTCGTACCGGCAGCTGACAGGGTGAGACAACGACAGGATGCGATCCGAGAAGCCGAGAGGGACCAAGAGGCCGCGGTGGCGGGCGAGAAGGCGGTCCTGGCGGAACTTAGGGCGATCGGTCTGTCGGTCGCGGACAGCACCGGCGTGCTCAGGCCAGTACAGGCACGAGAGGTGCGGGGCTTGGCTAAACGACTGGTCGGCTCGACAGATCTTCTTGGACAGGTTTTCCGGTGGGAGGGAGAGGACTACCTCGTCAACGACATCGCACCGGGGCCGACACAGTCGGGGGGGCAGGCGCTGAAGGCGTACGCCTGCTGTGTGAAGAGGCGGGTGGCATCGGCGGGCCCGCTGTCTGAACACAACTCGGCCTTTGATATCCGGGCGGTGCGGGATCGAATCGAGAAGGACCAGGCGAGGGGGGAGGCGACGCGACTACTGGGCGGTCTACGGCCTGATGCGGAGAGGGGGGGGGGAGAGGCGGGGCCGTCGACGAATCCGGGCCCTGCCCCCCCCCCTCCCCGAGGGGAGATGAGAGCTAGGCCCCCCCCCACGAGCGGGGTGGACGGCCGACGCGTGGAGCCACGGCTGGAATGGCCGCAGAGGCAGGGGGCATCCCCCGAGGCCCCGCCCCAGGAGGTGCGGCGGCCGGCGCCGCCATCGGGCCCGCCCCCGCCACCACCACCTCCGCCCCCGCCGCTGGAGCGACCGCTGGGTCGAGGAGCCGCCCCTGAGGTTCTGCACCAAGCGGTGCGGCCGCCAGTGCCGCCATCGTTTCCGCCACCCACACTGCCATTTCCACCCCCGCCACTGGAACGGCTGCAGGGTCGTGGGGCCGCCCCAGCGGCTCCACACCAGACGTTTGGGCCGCGAGGGCCGCCACTGTACCCGCCGCCCCTGCCACCGCCTCCACCCCCGCCGCCGGCGGGGCCGCCGCCGTATGGACCCGCTCGGAATAACCTGGGGGGTCCGGGACCGCCCCGCCGGAGGCTGGTGTATCCGGGCGGAGGAGATGGGGGAGGGGAGTTACCGCGGTACGATAGTGGGCCCACCGGCGAGCCGGAGGGCCGTGACCGGAGGGCCCCGGAAGGGACTTGGGGTCAGTTGTCGGAGGAGGCGAGAGATGAGCTGACGCGGCCTCTGAGAGTGGAGTCGGGACGTACGGGCTCACCAGGGGAAGGCCAGTCGCAGTGGCAACCGGACCACCACGACCTTCCACAGGGAGGGCCACGCCCCCCCGAGCCTGGAGAGGAGCCGGCGGAGGGGGGGGGCGAGCCGAGGACGATAGAGAGGCCGCGGGTGCGGGCGCGAGACAACCAGGGAGAGCGGGCTCGACCCCCCGGGGGTGGAACTGGTCGCGACCCAATGCCACCGGTCTCACCCGGGGTGACCCCGGCCGGGCCGCCGACACTCTCAGAACCGGTGGAGCTGGGAGAGGCTAGCGAAGACGAAAGGCGGCAGCGGAGGAAGCGACACCAACAACGAGGGAAACGACCACACCGGCCGTCGTATGACGCTCGGCAAGCGAGCAAGAGAGCGAATCGGGGAGAACCGGAGCCCCGGGAGGACCGAAGGTGGAGCCCCGGGACCGAGGACTAAGCAAGTGTCTGTTTGGGCGTGGTGTCCAGTGTAATGTCCACTAGCTCCGAGTAGAGGGGGCGTCCTGCAGTTAAGGGGAAACCCGGTACGCGGGTCCAACCCTCGGAGAACTGTGTTTACTTTAAGGCCCTTGCCCTGCGAACGCGCACCCCCGGGGCTAGGGCTCTCTAGCCCGTAACCCGATGCCAATCATCCGGCCCGCTGGGTGCGCTTCTGAGCTCCCCGGCCCTGGATGTGCGGTTGATGACTGCACTCCAAGTGCTCCAAGTGCGCATGGCCGCGCGCGTACTCTAACCAGGGCGCGCAAAAACTCAAAAACGAGAGACCCAGTTGTCAGCTCACGAATACCTGATTAGCGTACCGTACACCCGAGTCCCGACCCACTGCCACACGCGAGACATGCAAGAGACTGGAGAAGGCCCCGCCGCCACAGCAGCTGACGGCGCGCACGCGCGCCGTGCATCACGGAACCGCGCAGCTCCGCTCTCACGCAGATCACGGCCCTCGTCACACAAGTATCTCCTCCGCCCGGCGAGTTGACCCGCCCACAAGTGCACACCGGTGACCACAGGACCACACCCGATACCACATAAGCCAGCATGCTGCAAGACCCCTCTCTCTCCTCGGCGGGGGAAGTCGGCGAGAAGGCCGAGGGACGCCATGGCGAAGTATGACAAGGCAGCTGAAGACCGTCGAGAGGCAATCAGGCGGCCCAGACTCTGCCGCGCGCCACGCCGCCGCTCGCCACGCGGCGCGGCGTCGTCGGCGGCGGCGTGGACCCGGGCGGGTCATCCGACCGGGCGGTGGAGCCGAGGCTGGAGCGGCGGCTGGCGGAGCGGAGGTTGGCCTTCGCCTTGGCCGACGCGTCCGCGGTGGTGCGCGCCGTGGCGTCGTCGCCCGGGAACGCGGGCGCGTAGGCGGCGGGTGGAGCGAGCAACGCCTCGTAGCGCGCCTATCAAGAAGAATGAGACCATCACTCATTGCGAGCTGGCGGGTGGGGCGAGCGGCGCCTCGCAACGGTCCTCGTCGTTGGCGACGGCGAGCGCGGCGAGCACCTGGGGGACGTGTCGTGGACGTGTCGCGGACGCGCGGTGCCGTGTCGCGGACATGTCGCGGACGGGGTCGTCGGTGGTACAGACCTGCGGGTCGTCGCGCAGAAAGGCGCGCAGCCGCTCGCTCGGCGGCAGCAGCCGCGCGAGCACCGCCTCGCGCACGTCGGCAGCGATCTGCGAGTGCTGCGACTCGAACTGCGAGAGCTCCTCCGAAGCGAGAGCGCGCCGCAGCGCCTTCAGCTCGGAGGAGGAGCGCGTGCGCTGCCCGTCGCCGTCGCGCGAGAGCGCCTTCTCGAGCGCGCGCAGGGGCTCGACGAGCTGCTTGTCTTGCACAACCCACCTACAGGCCCGCTCCGAGGCCCGCTCCGACCACGGCGCGAGGGGAGGGGGCTGCGTGGTGACTCCGCCCACCCGTCGGCGTCGCCAGCCTCGCTCGGCGGCGACTCCTTCTGCGCGCCGGAGGCGGCGCTCGGCGCCTCCGCCGCCGGCTTGGATGCGAGCGACGCGTCGCTCGCGGGTCGCTTCGCCATGTAGCGCTCGCGCGCGAAGCGGACGAAGTCTCGGTACGCCTGCGGTACTTCCTAGACACTTCCTAGACATTTCCTAGACACTTCCTAGACACAAGTCGCGGTACGCCTGCGGTCCAACAGGCCTCGGTTGGGCTTTGTCACGGCGTCCTGTGGCATCACTGCTTGGGAGCGGGACGGGGCGCGCGCCTCGTCCGAGCCGCGCGTCGACTCGAGGAGCTGCGCCTGCTGTGTCGGCGTCCCCTCGTGCTCGCGAAGCCACTGAGAGGCGAAGCGGAAGAAGGCGCCCTGACGGATGAGCGAGCGCTCCAGCGCGCCGACAGGCTTGCCCGCCGCCGCCACGTCGGGCGCGATCCCGCCGCCCGTCTGCACCTCTCGCCCGTTCGAGGTGAGGTAGACCGGGTTCGGCTGCAGAGACCGCTCCGTGTACGACTCCTGCCTCCGCCTGGCGAGGCACTCGTCGCGGGTTAGACTCACTGCTGCCCTCTCGCTGCGCGCACGACTCCCGCCTCCGCCTGCGCCGAGCCGCGCCCTCGTCGTCGCCGTCTGCCGGCGCGGCGTCCGGCGCCCGGTCCGTCGGGCTGCCTGCCTCGTCCGCCTTCGGCTCGGCGACCTTGAGCTCGGCGCCGGGCTTCGGCGGCTTTGCGTACGAGATTGCTTGGATGCAGCGGCCCGAGGGGGTGAAGTACTTTGCGACGGTCAGCTTGAGCGAGCGGCCTCCCGGCAGCGGCTCGACCACCTTGCGGCGGGGGGCGGGCCGTTGGGCCAAGGGGGGGGGGGGGGGAGG